GCTAGGTGACGCGCTGGGCTTCCGGGGTTGCTAGGTGACGCACTGGGCTTCCGGGGTTGCTAGGTGACGAGCTGGGGTTCAGGGGTTGCTAGGTGACGCGCTGGGCTTCCGGGGTTGCTAGGTGACGAGCTGGGCTTCCGGGGTTGCTAGGTGACGAGCTGGGCTTCCGGGGTTGCTAGGTGATGCGCTGGGCTTCCGGGGTTGCTAGGTGACGCGCTGGGCTTCCGGGGTTGCTAGGTGATGCGCTGGGCTTCCGGGGTTGCTAGGTGACGAGCTGGGCTTCCGGGGTTGCTAGGTGATGCTGGGCTTCCGGGGTTGCTAGGTGACGCGCTGGGCTTCCGGGGTTGCTAGGTGATGCACTGGGCTGGCAAAGTCTTGACATTCCATTCCAGAGGTTTTTAAAAGGGCTAATTTTCCAGACACCAAAAAGCATCAACTTATTGCAGAAATGACTTAGTTGCTTTATCTAAGTCTTCCTCAGGTCATTCAGCTGTTTTCAGAAGAATTCGAGATCCACATGGAAGTACAAAAACATGCAAAATGCGAATATAGCACCACACATCCCCTTTAACCACACTGGGTGAACAAACTCCTCTAGATTTGATCCTGTGCTGGCTGATTTGTGTGTTCATGTTTGGTCTTTTTCATTTTTCTGCCTCAGGGGCATCAAGGTTTGCTCAGACAATTCATGAGCCTGGGACACAACGTTAAATATTTCAACAATATTTTGTCTCTCTCTGCATCTCTGCGATGCTCCTGCTTGTATGGAGGCGTCACTTACTGTAAAATCTTTGCTTTAAATCTACCGGCGGTGTGCCGGGACTTGAGTACCTGCTGTTTTCCAACAACCTTCCTTCCATATCTTTAATCCAGAGGAGAGCACGCACTCTGGGAGCCAATTACCAGCAGAGCGTGGCAAGACTTGTGCAACAACGGCAGGAGGCAGGCAGAAACATTCGTGTCTAGAGATGCTTTAAGAGATTCTCTGATGGCTCTGCCAGTAGTAAAATTATACCTTTTGTGTCATCTTTCTGTAAGGGATTAGTAAGTACTTGTGTTTCAGTGCGTGATGGAGACAAATTTTCTCTACTTTGTGAAGCTTTAAAAGACAAAGTCTGAAAAGAGGTGAACTTGTTTTTAAAAAATAAGCTACAAATAAACAAAAGGAAATTCAATACAATAGAAGGTAAATTTGGCCTTCTATTTCAGTTTTGTGCTTAAATTTACATTTTATAACATCTGTTTTAGTATTTTTAAAAACTGTCTTCTAAAAACCAAACAAATATAAAGAAGGCAACAGTTATTGATTATAACAACAGCCACTTTTAAAATCCAGGCCCGTCACGTACAGGTGTGTGATGCAAGTCTTCCAGTGCGTGTGTTGATGTCCCTGTTCACTTACATTGGCGCTCAGCTGCGTGGTGAGGGCAGAAACCTTTTCCTGGGAGGCATCCAGCTCCCGGCGAAGTTTTCGGATCTGGGGTCAAGATAAAAAAAAAAAAAAAAATCAAACACGCAACCAAATGCATAATAAGAAAAACACCGCAGTCACAAACAGGGGAGGATCCCTGATCTGAACAATTTGTTCTGGGTTCACTGGAAAAACACAAACCTTACCAAGTAATTACAGCCTAGTTTCTACTGCAAATATCTCAGTGCACTTGAAAAGAGAAAAACTAACTTATTAATAACTTCTAAGGAAGATATAAGAGCTGGATCTTGGTAAATAATTTTGTAATTTGAATGAAAAAGTGCTAGTTCCACTGGAAAATTATTTCTCTTATGACATGAAATTTTTTCCATGTTATGAGTGAAATAATCTCATTGAAACTAGTACTTTTTCATCAGTATAAAGGAATTATTTGCTTAAAACAAACTCCTATGTCTTGCCAAAAAGTTACTCATTTGTTTTTTTTTCTTATTTCAAGAGGACAAATTTATTTGCAGTACAAACTAGACAAAAAAATACTTAATATTTGTGTTTTGCAGTCTACAAACATTTTAAAAATCCACAGTTTTATGCCATACACTGCAAAAATAAAAAATCTTTCTAAGTTTCTTTGTCTAGCTTTCAGTTAAATTATTTTAGTACACTTGAAATAACTTTTCAGCAAAATGCAGGAGCTATTTTAAGTCAAATTTCTTAATATTGATGAAAGCATATTGGTTTTGACAAGATATTTTTCTCATATTTGAAGCAATCTGCCAGTGGGGCTTGTTCTTCTGTGTTTTGCAGTGTACAGGTTCAGGGTAAAGAAGGTCAGTCACAACATGGCTACCTGTGTAACTGGATACAACTGTGAAAACATGCCCATGTTCCAACAAGTCCAGCTAGTGAACGCAGAAAATTAAAGAGGCTGGGATCGCTGTGGGCGTGCTGATGCTTACCTCTGACTGAGACTTCTCCTCGTTCTGAAAAACAAACAGCAGAAGAAGAGAAAACCATTAGAGTCTTCAACCTGCCGCGGGTCAGACCGCACATTTCCTGACTCCGGTTTGATTTATTAGCTCCTTGGAGACAAGCTTTATAAACTGTGGAGCGTATTGTCTGGTGTAATATGTCTGGGAAGCAGAGATATCCTCCTGAAGGCATTTCACCGTGTGTTGAGTCTCATTGTCAAAATGGAACAATAGCCAAAAAAAAAAAAAAGAACTAGGTGGTACATAGACATACAGTGCAAGAGCATAGAAAACAGATGCTAGCTCGCACGAACGCAACACGCCCTGATGCTGGTCACCAAAACACTGGCACATGCAACACCCACATTTACATATCAAAAAGGCTCTACCTGAACTTTTATTTATAGATTATAACAACGGCTTCGTTTGGAGCTAAATTTAAGGTGAGTTTGACTTTTTTTATCTTCACCTGCAGCGACTCGCTGCTGCAGCTTTCCTAGCAGTGGATGAGCAACGAACTTTAGCACATCTGGACTGTGGCATGCGGTTTACAAGGAGAATCAAAACACACACAGAGATACACAACCAGCTGATCCTAGAAACGCAAACACAGAAGTTTGTCCTGGAAACGCAGCCAAAACGCAGAAACAGCTCACTCTCATGCAAAAATAGCAGAGCTGGAGCAGCTTGCAGCACAAAAATCTTATTTCAATTCACCTTTATGGACACAAAATTATGTGATTCTAACCTACATTGCAAAAAAACCTAAATCTTACTAACTATATCTGGTCTACTTTCCAGTGCAAATATCTTAATTCAACTGAAAGAAGACAAAACAAGCTGACAAGCATCTTTTCAGTAAGATATAGGAGCTTGTTTTACGTAAAAAATATCTTAATATTGATACAGTTCCACTTTATCTTGTTTTAAATACAACAAAACATTTTCTCTATGTTATAATTGAAATAATCTGCCAATTGAATTAGTACTTTTCATCAATTCTAAGAAATTAATTACTTAAAACAAGCTCTTATGCCTGGATTAAAAGTTAGTTTTGTTCAATTTCAGGTGTTCTAAGATATTTGCAGTGGAAACAACACAAAAACACTGGATGAGATTTTGTGTTTTTGCAGTGCAACCACCTGATCCTGGAAACAAACACAGCAGTTTGTCCTGAAACGACTCACTAACACAAAAACATCATCACTTGGTTCCTCCAGAAGCTGATTACAGCAGATCGCTCTTGTTTCAAAGAAACTTTACAGCCAGAAAACAACCTGCCTCTGACTCACTCCATAAAATCAGAAACCGTAACACTCTGCTCCTGTTTCCTACCGTTTGCTGCCAAGCCGGGACCGTTCCCGTCAGCGATAAAGTCGCCATCATTTTGGCTCCGCTCTGATTTCCAGCCTGTAACTTTCAGGCTGTGAGGGTCAAAGCTCGTCTGAGAGATTCTGTGCTACACCTGCTCAGGTGAGCGAACAAACGCAGAGGGAGGAGGAGGAGGAGCTTCACTTTCTGTGTGCACATGTGGGCTGTTCCCCGTTACTCTGTGTGCCTACGACTAAACCTTCTCCTTTCAGGATGTGTGAGTCACATATCTCTTTGAGTTGACTGATAAACTTTAATATTTAAATGAACTGAAGCGGTTTCCACATGAATAAAAGTGATTCCTATTTTGTCCATTTTTGGGTTCAACAGGGTATTGCAGCCACACTAAGAAAATAAAAATAACATTACGAGAATAAAGTTATAAAATTATGAGAAGAAAGTTGCACTAGAGTAGAGTCATAATATTTCAACAATAAAGTTGTACTATTAAAAGAATAAAGTTAGAATGTTACAAGAATACAGTTATTTTAGGAGAATAAAGTCATAACATTATGAGAATCAATAATTATGTTAAATTATTTTTGTAATATTTTGACTTTATTCTCATGTTAATATGACTTTATTTTTGTATGACTATAATTGCAATATTACGATTTTCTTCTCGTAATAAATTTTTAAAAATTTTTATTAGCAAGGCCTTAAAAAAGCTGCTGGATGTAAAATTATGCTCGGCTTTGACGGCACTGGTAAAAAGTAAAAAATGTGTGACAGAAGAATCGTCGCCTTCAGGAAGATAAAAATATGAGCACAATTCAGACCAATTCTGGAGTGTAAACTCACCGTGGAGTAAATGGAAGAAGTGCTGGACACCAAAGACAGAGATGAGCCATGAACTGCAGAAACAAAGAAAAGGTTTCAGTGACTGTTTGGCCAAGACTGCATGGCAGAGCGTGAACATAAATACCGAAAAACACACCATCACATAACGAAATGTGATTTATATCACTAAATTTATTGGTACTTATTTATGTGATTGTAAAAAAAAAACCTGAAGAATTTAAAAATATATATATTTTAGATCTATTTTTTGACATTAACTGTGATTTATCATGGCAATGATAAAACTAAATTATTACAATTACCAGAAGTTTTAAAGAAATGAAATGTCAGATTTGTCTTTTTTTAAATACACTAAAGTATCTGTACTAGAAACTAGATTTTATGTTTTTGCAGGGTGGGGTTATAATTGGTGGGCAGGAAGTTGGGTCCCCAAATCAGCTCAAAGCCCCAGACAACCTTGGGCCGGCTCTGCTGCGATTACCACCAGACCTCCCACAGTCTCCCCACACAAACTACCCAGTCTTCCCAGTTGTGTCCAGGCGGAGTCTAATTCCTGGCTACAAAGATAAAACTCCTCCAGATATACAGCCCAACCATAGCGAAGCTAATGACAAGCTGAACTTTACTGCAGTGACTCAGCTGCTAATCGCACATGTAGGGAAAACAGTGCCGTTACTGTTCCCTGTCTGGGAGCAGATTAGAAGGGATCAGCAGTGTGATGTCAGAAACCACGGCGAGAGGTCGGCCCGATCCGCAAAAGAAGCATTTGTTCTGTTAGAGGAGGCAGATAGGAGTTTACAGAAGATTCACTCTTATCTTTGTTGGGTCTACACAGGAAGGTGTGCAGGGACCCACACGAAAGCAGAACATTTAGTTTTCACTGAGAGACAAAACAATCAGGCTGCACTGCTTTATTAACAACTTAGCCAAAAATGTGATTTTTGTTTTTAAAGTGGAATGGCTGTTTTAAATTTTTCAGTTAAATGAAAACGCAGTCAAACTTTATTGCAAATTCATGGACAAATTGCAAATATACAGTTCAAGTTAATTTAATCTCCAACTTGTCCTTGTCTCTTTGGGTGGGCGACTCATTGTGTCGAGAAAACACCAACAATTGATCTCAAGGTAACGAGATCTTCAGCTCGTTTTGTTTTGATAACAGTTTTACGTTGTTATAATGAGACTTTATCCTTGCTTTGTTGTCGTGGCTGTTCAGCCGCAGATATCGTTTAAAGTTGATCATTATGCAATGGGATATACAAAACAAGTTCATTACATTTCTTTGCACAATAATCATACTTAGATTATGAGATTTTCATCTGCCCACTTCTGCCTATTGTGAAATGTTTTATGGCCTCCTGTCACTTTAAATCCAAATAAGCTGCTGCTTGCCACGCCCCCCAACTCAACTTTACACTCACATAAAAATGGCTTCCAACACTTGACTCTTCAAGCAGACCTCGTACAGCAAATACGGCAGTAAAACCCGCTGACCAAAGGTGCTGGAGCTTGGCTTGGGTTGCTAGGTAACGGGCTGGGTTCCACTGGGGTTGCTAGGTAACGGGCTGGGTTCCACTGGGGTTGCTAGGTAACGGGTCATGCCCACTGATTTGTGACGTTACATTTCAGAGGGTTTTGAAATGGTTCATTTCCCATTTTTCAAAAAACATCCACTTATTGCTGAAAACCACCTGGGTCGGGTTTGTTAATTTCTTGGTCTGTGTTTAGAAGAAGCAGAAACCCAATTTGAAGTACCAAAACATTAAGAAGGTGAATTCAGCATAAAATGTCCCCTTTAAGTTGTAAAAGTTTGATTTCAGACTCAGATATTTAACCAAACTTTGAAAAAAAATCCCAGCATTATTTTTTTATATATATATATATTTCAAGTTTTTGAACCCTCTAAATAAACCAGCAGATTCTTGGGCTATTGGAAAACTGCAGTCATGTTTCATCATCTCCTGTTATTTCAAACAAATACTTTTTAATCCATCCATTCATCCATCTGAGCCTAACCCTGCAGCCAGTGGGTGAGAGGTAAGGAACACATAAAACATTATTGTTGCTCTGATTTTTTTAAAGATGTTGGTGGTTAGCAACTCATGGCTTAACATGTCCATCAAGAAGAGCGGGTCTGGTTAGTTCGGGGACTGGGGAGAGGTGTTTGTTTTTCACACATCCCACTGGGAGAAAGCCTCAGGGTAGACCCAGGACCCAGCAGAAAGATTATATCTTCTGGTTGGTTTGGGAATGCCCCTCGCTCTGCAGCAAGAGGTGGAGGAAATAACTGTCCTTATGTCCTAAATCTATCAAAATAACCAAAATTGTAATTGCAATAACATTTTCATTAACAGAAAAAAATAAAAATGGATGGAAAATGGTAACTAACTGAAACTATAGTGTGCATTTATGAAACTAATTAAAACAGACAAATTATACATGTATTGTCCCTCATTTTTGTGTTTATGATTCTATTTATTCACCTTCTGAACTGATGTGACACAAGCAGTTTACATCACTTGTCAGTAAATTACGGTACTCCATAATCCTGGCAGCGTTTATGCTAGTCTGCAAAATGGCGACAGTAAAAATTGGGAGAAAACTTCAGTCAGTTTGCTGTTCAACAATAACTGAATTAACTTTGGGTTAATTCAGTTAACTGGAAATTAATAACTGTTGTTTTCTGTTGACTATTTATTACCCAATAGATGTAAACATAATCACAATACAATACCACTAAATTGTGATTTCTGCAAAAATTGACCAAAATAATGAACAAAACCAAAATTACTTTAAACCTTCCTCAATATAAAAACCTGTAGAACTGAGAACTGTTGAGAAGTGGAAGATTGCTTAATCTGATTTCTGCTACAAGATAATTGCTTGCATTTTAATGCATCTGTGTGCATATTCATATATTAAATGTTCTAATCGATTGGCAGATGTTACATTTTCTATACTCTCAGAGCCTTGAATGGAACCAGTAATGAATTGAGTATTACCACTAATTTCTAAAACTTTCACCTTTTTTAAAATCATCTTTCACTCGAATAAAATAAATGAATCCCCAACTCCTAGTTCAGAGCAAGCTGTAAACTATCATTTAAAATAGTAAATTTATGTCTGCGTTTCTCCTTTAAGCTGAAAAAATATTTGCAAACATAAATGTGAGCAGGGGGGATTTAGTTTGGTGCGGATGAGATGACAAAGTGCGGCGTTGTTGCTCTCGTTAAGCACAACAAAGTGTTTCAGGGATGATGTGCCTTTTGTGTCTGGAGGAAAACTCTAGACTTCAGAAACATGAACATGCACACAAGCTGCATGTCACAGCAGAGGCAGCAACCAAGACAAAGAGTGAAAGTGGGAGGGTAAGTTTAGCTTGGCGGTTTTCCTAAATGTCGCCACGTCTCACTCACACCTCACACAGCGATCCCTGTAATTATCCCCTCTGCTGAAACGAGAGGAGGACAGATATGTTACAGGCGCTTGAGGTGAAAACAACATGCCTTCATCTGTGATTTTCAAACAGACGCAAGGCTTTCAAGACAAGTTGTTCAATGGATGACGGACAGCTGCTCATGCACAATAAAATAAGCTAAAACACGATACAAACTAGAGATGCTCTGATTAATATCTGTACCAATCCTGATATTTAAAACATTCCATATTGGTTTTTGGAAACAATGTGCACGATGAGGGAAGGTCTATACTTAGTTCTGCAAAAACTCCAACTTAATACATTTGTAAGTTTATCTCAGAATGGTTCAAAAAGAACATTGCTCTTATTTCATTCAACCACATGAACCATTCCTCTGAATGCTGTTTAGTTGGCAAGCCGGAGCTTAAACAGCTTTTAATTCACTTCTGATCTCAGCAAAACATCTACGAAAATGGTTACTTCGCTTTCTTGTTATTGATTGCAACTTTTGTTCGTGTTTTAAAACTTTAATGTTCATTTCCCCAATTTTACACAAATCGGGTACCAGCAAGCTTTTTAAGTTACATTTTTCTCGAGCCATGAAACTTAAATGGTCCCTTGGAAAACAATGGCTTTTCATGTTTAATGTTCTATTAACAAAAATACTAATAATTGTTTAAGTCAAATAAGGAAGCAAAGTAAGAGACCTTTGAACTGGTTCACACGTATTTAAATCTGATTTCATCCCAAGTGTGAAACAGAAACAACAGCAGAGTTCTTACCTTCTTCGAAGCCGTCTCTGAAAGATCCCGACCGGCTCATGGTGCGGGTCTTCTCGTCCAGCGACATGCACGAGTTTCTCAGTCGGCTGTCGCTGCACGGGTCAAAAGGAGTGTCCTGATTGGTCAGGCTGTTGTTGCGCATACCAGCGAGGTTGATCTGACCTGCAGAGGTTGGGCTGGATGCTGCAGAAACGATACAACCAGAGCAGCATTTATGTGCAGGTTATATTATGTAAAATAAGATATTTTGCATAAATTTAAATACATGAGCTGGTCGAGTTAAAATGAACCAGCTCTCTGTCCATAATGTTACAGTGCTTCACTAAGGTATTCATGTATGATCCTGACAGACAAGCTTTTGTGTTTTATTGGGATTTTATGTGATAAAGCAACACAAACTATTGCATAATTAAAACAGGAACAAAAAGCAAACATTGTTCCAAATACAAATCCTAAAAATGTGACCTGCATTTGTTAAAGGGGACCAAGTACACAAAATTCACATTTTGCACAATTTTGTATGTTCATTGTGGTCTGAACTGCTTCCAAAAATGCGTAACTCAGCTGTTTTCCAGCAAAAAGTTAATTGTTTTTTGACTTCAAAACCTTTCTGGTTGTTGAGTCACATTTGAGCAGCAATGGGTCGTTACCTAGCAACCCCAGTGGAGCTACAGCATGTTTGTTCAGCTGGTTTTAATGCTGTATGAGCTGCACAATGGCTGCTGGAAAACACAAGTGTTTTGCTGTTGACTCACCATCCAGAAACCTCTTGCTGCATTTGTGTTGATTGTGCAGGAGGCTCCACTTCTGCTTTTCTAAGATGTACGCTTCTGAAATTGCAGTTGTTTGCAGCTATTTTCATATTTGAGTGTAAACATTGAGAAGCAGATTATTTGAATTTAAAGTGACGATCAAATCACACAGAAAGGTGGAGTGACTTTATTAATTATATGTCTTTAAAACGATTGATTGACCTGGATTTAGTAAGCAATACCAAAGGAAATGCATGCCACACTTTACAGATTTGCCAGTGAATATATAAGGTTGTTTTCTTTGTGAGTGGCCTACCCAGCTGTCCAAAGTTGAAGCGAGTTCCAGAGGGAGAGGTGAGGCTGGAGCCGGGGGAGAACGGTGAGTTACTGGCGGAGTCCTGCAGCCCACTGGTGGAGTGGGAGCGCAGCCAATCACGGTCCTCATGACCTCGCAGCTGCTGAGAGGACCATACCTGCAGAGAGTCAAAGAATTGGGTTAAAACCGAAGCCAGGGCATCAAACTGGAGATTTTGTGTGGAGGATATGGGATTTTATAATTGTTTTAACATAAGTGAGATTTTGTTGTTTATTTTGCTTCAAGCAGCCAGATTAATCACCAGGATCTGACATGAAGATGAGACAGATGCTGCAGCAACATAGACTGCATGAACGTTTTAAAAGCTTTGAGCAACGGAAAAAAGCAGAAAAGACGGGAAAAAGAGAGAAAAATTGACCCCCGAAGCAAAAACAAAAAATCATGCCTGCCCCAACACACTGATAAATCTGTACAGGGACAAACACTCGACACGACAACACATGTGCTAAGTGCCAAACAAAATCTTGATTTTGAAAAGTGTGAACAGAAGCCTTAACAAGACGATGTGGACGCTGCGAAAAAATAAAAAAATAAAGCAGAGGCTGGTAAAACCGGAGTGGAAAGGTGCAAAGTGCCCAACAGGAAAACAAATGAGGTACCTGAATCCCTTCTTAGGCAGAGTGTTTCTACCACAATGTGGCCCGCTGTGGGAGAGAAACACTTCAGAAGAGGAACACAAATGGAGGGAGGAGGCAAGGAAACGTGTCTCTGAATAAATAGCTAAAATTATTTTAACAATGAAATATCTTTGCTGCAAACTACAGAAGAGGAGAAGGGCCACTGGAAAAGAAAATCTTATTTTAACATCAGAAGTTTGAGAAAATTAAAGTCAAACTTCCAAGAAAAAAAAAGTCAAAATTCTAAAAAAAAAAAAAAAAAAAGAAAAAAGTCAGGATCCAGAGATTAAATTTCTGAGATTAAAGTCATACTTCTTTTGCTTTTTTTCAGTGGCCCTAATCCTCTGTTATAGAAAGCAAATAATGTCCAAACTGGATAGTTTTATTTATTTATTCATTTTTTCAGAACATCAAAAGCTTTAGCAAAAATAAATAAATAAATAAATAAACAATATTTTTCAAGATTAACTAGAAAACTAGACAAGCAAGGACTTCACACTCAAGTATTTTTCAGATATTTAATATTTCAGTGGAAACAGAAAAAACCCAATTTTGGTGTAAGCTCTATTCTCAACCACAAGATGGCAGCATGTGACAGCTAAACTAAAACGCATAACCTGAAACTCATAATTTCCATTCATCTCAAGGAGTCCTAAAAATAACCACAGACTACCACACAGGGACAAAACGCTGAGGCTAGATTACAGGTTGTAATCCCAGAGGCCGGGGCTCCCTGTGTGGCAGCAGGTGGTGCTTTAGCAGGACCACCCACCTCAGCAACAGCCTAAAACTGCACACAGGTACATTTACCTGTCCTGCCTCCGAGGTAGCGTGTTTCGGCTGAATATGGGGCTAGCGGAGGGCGAGGAGAGGGGACTGATGGAAGACAGCAAGGGGAAAAGAAAACGCACAACAGACACAAGAGAAACAGCAAAGTTTTAGAGAGTCAGATAGATGAAGGAATGTCTCAGAGCAGAAATCAACAGCAAGGATTCAGCAGAGAAACCTCACTAATGTCACAGTCTGGAGCTCAAATGATAAAATGTTTCCTTTGAGGCATTCTCGTCACTTTGCACAGTCAAGCTGTCAGGAAGGAATCTGCTACACTGACAAGAATCAAGATAGTTTCCTCGCCACATCTGCATACAGATTACGAACTACAAACGACTCCAACAGCATGGCTGCTTTATGCAACTGATCAATTCAGAAATGTTTAAAAAGGAAATAAAAGGATTGTTTAGGAGGTTTTGGATTTCCTGTCTGTAATAGAAGTCTGGTCCTGCTGTCTGACAGTTAGGAAAAGCGTATATACGATGCCAGATAAGGATCATTGCAAGTAAAAGAAAAATATCAAATTACCACCCAAAAAACTGAAATTTTTAGATAAAGCACAGAAATTGCCTAGTAAAAAAAGTACATTTCTGAGCTTGAAAAGTCAAAAATTTACTAGAAAAAAACTCTGATCTCTGAAGTTTTCTTTAAAAGGACATTTCTATCTTGAAAAGCTGAAAATATTCTTCAAAAAACAGAAAAGTTGAGATTATTGAAAAGCTCCCGGAAGAAATATGGAAACTTCTGAGTTGGAAAAGTTGAACAATTGCTAGTAAAAAAAATAAATTCTCAGAAATTTTCTGGAAAAACAAGATAATTTCTGAGTTTCATAATTCAAAAAGTTTGCCAGAATAAAAATAATCTGAAATTATTATTTCTATTATAAAATAATTTAAGATAACTTCTTATTGGCAGGTTGTTTTTCTTAAAACATGGGAAACATATCTTGTTATAAGTAAAATAATCTGCCAGAGGAACCAATTCTTTTTCATTAATATTAACAATAATTTATGTCAGATAAGCCGTTATTCCTTGCTCAAACGTTACTTGTAAGATATTTTAGTGTTTTTTCTAACTACTTAGATAGAAACTAGACAAACTGGGTAAGAGTTTGTGTTTTTTACATACAGTGAAGTTTGTTCAAAGAATGTAAATATTTCTGCAGTGAACCTGAGAACAACGATGCAATTATCAAACAAGTACGTTAATAGTTATGCAAACTTTTTAACTTGCTGTTCAGTAAAATAGCAGCAAAACAAACAAAAGTTTCCATCTCCTAGTCATTCCCGGAACACATCCTGTCCGTCCTTACCTCTCTGACATGCCGGTCTTGACGCTCCCGGCGCGACCCAGAGCAGAGATGGTGTCCTCCTGGTGTGTGCCGAGTCCGCCGGCGCTGCTCAGGCTCATGTCGATGGACTCGCTGCTGGTGTGCATGCTGCTGACTGAGGGGAATCCCACGCTGCCCGCCCCGCCGTGCCCACCCAGGGTGCCCTCTCTACTCGGCACAGACGAGCTGCTGAAGGTGGTTCCCCAAGTCAGGCTGTTGGAGGGACCGGTGGAGGAATACATAGATCCTGGGCTGGAGGTCTGCAAGATAAATGTCCAATATTAGGTCTGCAAAGGGACAGGAAAAAAAAATAATAATGTATTTCAATATAGAGAAAATTCCCTGAACCCTAATCTAAAACTGCACAGGATCTGGGAGATGTATGCAGAGGAAAAGCTTTAAACACCCAACAAGTTTAAGCTTTCCCCACAGTTCTTCATAACTGCTTAAAAATAAATGAACAAAAGTATGGAGTAAAAACTGTGGATAAAAACTTTATTTCAGATATTTAAAACAAAAATTCAATCAATAATTAGCAATATTTACTGACATAAAACACTTATATTTACCGTTTCCAAAATCTCTCTAGGAAATAAATTGATCAGACATCCTAATATCAATCAGATGCAACTTCTCCATTATATTGAGAGGAAGACTTAATAATCATTAAACCAAATTCAAGTTGCAGCCCTGAAATTATGTACTCACATTGTCCGCTTTCATTCCAGAGTGAATTGAATCTAAAGTAATTTAATAAACTTTTGAACTGCCTTCTGTTTGTGAAGACATGACTTCTCTTTCGTCAAACAACATCTTGTGTGTCATAACGTGACTCACAGACCATCCAGCTCAAAACTTCTGAATCATGTGAAAACGTGAAGCAGAGTTCATGACCAAGCACGCTCAAACATCCCGGTCCTGACATGAATTTGATCTGTAGTGTGTAAAACGGCCGTCTGCTCGACTCATCTGCGCTTCACCTGAACCGGAGTTGAATGAAGAAGTCGGCGTGTTTGTGGTATTAGTAAGGTGAGAGCAGAATAATCCCAGTGTCCCCACCAAAGGCCTGTAAGTAGCTCTATAAACACACTCCCACGTTTAACACCGCCACAGTTTACTCTTGTATCAACTGAGGACACAAACAGTTGCAGCTTTTAAACCTGGAATTAAAGTTGACCAGAATTCACAGGACTTAAGTGTGTAATTTTAAACTTAACTAAACGACTGAAAATGAATTTAAAAAGGCCAAACACTGATCCCTGAGGAACTAAATCTTTGGAAAGCTACTCATATGTTTTCCAAACATGCACTGTGTTTTAAAGGCGGCTTTTAAGCCTTAAATATTGTAAATATGAGCAACATTTGGAGAGAAATTACTATTTTTTGTGAATCCATGATGAAGATCAATCCACATTTGTTTTATGTCAGCAGTATCAGCGGAAGTGAAATATATGTTACAAAATCCAGTTAAATGCGGTTGAAGCGTCTCACCTGCTCGCTGCCCAGAGTCCCAGTTCCTGACCCCAGGGCTCGGCCTCCAAACAGGGGGCTGCTGGTCTCGCTGTCCCCGCCTCCCAGCACGCCATCAGGCGACTCCAGCACCGTAGGAACGTGGTTCATGGTGGCGTGGGGGTTGGAGATCACCGTGGAGTTCTTCAGGTTTTCAGCTGTGGTGACTGGAGCTTGTTTGCTGGCTTTACCACCAAACAACCTGAACGTGCATCGACGAAGGAGAGGAGGAAGTTCAATGTGGTCGAACCGATAAATCACCGAATGAACAACAAAAATTCACCATAAAAAGACAAACACCTGCAGTTTCTGTAAAAGTTTAATAAATTTTTTATTGAAAAACTGATTTGGACATTTTTTTAAAAATTTTATTACTGATATGAATTATTGTCATTTTGGTCCAAACTTTCCACTTGACTTTATTTTTGGTCCATGTTATGTAATTTTTAAATATTAAATTATTGATAATTTGATCAGACTTTTTACCAAATATTTTTTTTACTCTTACTTGTAATTTCTTTCACAGGTACGATTTATATGTTGAAGTTGTTCTTTTTCTTACTTCAGTAAAATATTTGGATACTTTGCCCAAAATACTCCTACTGAGGTAAAAGTATTGAGTAATAAACAACCAGTTGCTACCAGAATACCAAAAAAATAATACAATAGAAAGAGCAAAACTACTTCAACATATTTTTACTCAAGCAAAAAGTAAAAAGTAGCCGTCTAAAAAAAATGACTCAAGTATTTGTTAAAAAGTCTATTCAAGTACCGAGTAACAGATCAAATTATCAATCATTTAATATTTAAAAATGACATCATCAGATGGATCAAAATAGAAGGTTCAGAGCAAATTTTGGTATTTTATGGACCAAAATGACAATTTATTTAGTAACAAAAAATAAATTCAGGCAAAATATTTTTTCCAAATCAGTTTCTTTCAATAAAGAAAATTCCAAATCAAAATAAAACTTATGAAACTTTAACAAAAAAAACTACAGGTCTGAATCTGGTGAATTTTTGGTTACAACATGTTTGTTCTTCATTCAGGGGAAAAATCCAGAAGCTTCACTCAAGATTAGAAATATTTCTTAACAAAATTACTCAAGTAGAAGCAACAACAAAAAAACAGCTTAGCAAAAATACTTCTAAAGGTAAACTTTTTCTAAAAGTTACTTAAGTTAATGTAATTGAGTAAATGTAACTAGTTCAAGAGCAAAAGAATCTGCTGAGAGTTTCTAATCTGACTCATAAAAACAGTGAAGCAAAAGGAAGCCCTTTCATCAGTGCAGAACGAAGCGGCGCTCGAACCCACAACCCTCCTCTTGTTCCCGGTTTCGGCTAATTGGCGGGCTGCGATGACAGAAAGCCGCGGTGGGGGATCTCTTTGAAGACTTATCACTGCCTCACATTAACGAGAGCAGAGTGCTGTAAGACTCCATCACCGCGCGCCACACCCTCCTGTTGCCCCTGCAACCTCACCACCAAGGCTGAGGCTTGGCAGCTGATCAGCCGCGCTCAAGGCCTCCACTCACAATGGCCTCATTTAACCCCACATACTGAGTGCAAACAGGCCCACACGTGTGATCCTTTACTCATGATTAAGGTTTTTTTTTGGGGCGGGGGAGAAGTCAAGTTCACACAGGAGGGCCCCACTTGGAGTGGCTCATTATGTCTGGAGGGTTTCTTTAAAAACTAGGGCCGTCAACATTAGCACGTTAGCTAGTTCATGTGATATTACACTGCAAACACAAAATTTTACCAAGTGTTTTAGGTCTAGTTTATAGTGTAATTATCTTAGCACACTTGAAATAAGACAAGTAATTTACAAGTAACTTTGGAGCAAAATATAGCAACTTGTTCTAAGTGAATAATTCCTTAATATTAATGAAAAACTGCTTGTTCCAATGGAAACAAATTAACTTATGACGTGGGAAAATTGTCTTGTTACACGAGAAATAATCTGCTAATGGAAATGGTATTCTTTCACAAATTTCCTTAATTTTGGGAGATTGGTTGATGCAATAAGGGAACCAGATCTTATCTACCTCAGTCTAAAATCAGCCATGTCTGCACGTTTCCTACTATTAATAGTCAACCTGAGACTCTGAGACTTTATTTATATATTTAGCGACGTTTCAGACAAAAAAAAAAAAAAAAAAAAGGATTTCAGCCAAAATCAGAATTGGCAGGTCAGACTTCCTAAAGATCAGTGATTGGACAGAAAACTGCAGCCCTTGAGCAAAATAATGCTTCTGAATATAAAATCCTCAACAGAAAAATTGGATTCAGGATTAAAAACTGTTTCTGAATCGAATCGTGACCCTGAAAATCAGAATCTATTTCTAATTTGTAGATGTGTGTTTACCTGCGCAGCGTTGGTGATGAAACCTGCTGTCTTCCCGCCGCCGGGCCGCCCTGCATCCCGCTCCGCAGGTTGTCGATCTCGGAGACGCCCTTCTCGCGATCCGTCTGATTGGCCAGGAGCGCCGCTGACCCGTTGGGCTTGGCGACGCCAAACGAGTTTTTCCCGTGAGACGTGACGGAGAGCACGGCCGCCTCGATGCTGCTGGTGGACGAGCGGTTGCCGTTACGGGCCGCGGCGCCCGAGCGGCTGGGCCTGGGCAGGCTGCGGTACTGCAGAGTGGAGCGAGCGCTCATCGGGAGGAAGCCGTCATCATGGTGACCCAACGCAGACCCCGCGTCCTGCCCGCCCGATTTTAAGCCGCCCGACAGAGAGCGCCCTCCGGATTTGGGCATCTTCCCCAACGTGGCCGAGCCGCTGGTGATGGTGGCGCCGCTCGCGGTAACCATGGTGACCATGCCGTGACCTTGCTTCTTGAAGCCGAAGGTGCTGGTCGGGGTGCGGGTCGACAGCATGAGCGTGTGAGACTGCGGGTCGGAGACGGTGTGCGTCAGCGGGGCGGCGGCGCGGCCGGCGGGGACCGGCTGCTTCTTGGCCTCGTCGCCGCTGCTGCGCCCGGCGTCAGACGGCGAGCGCTGGAGGCCGTTTGAGCGCGGAGAGAGGCGACCTTTCTCCGACACTTTTACGTCGTCGGTTTTACCTGCAGGACAAAAGATTCAGGTTAACAAAACCAGAACGCTTTCACATGACATCATAGGTGGGAAGAGTCTCCAGAAATTTTACTCAGACGTTGGAGCTGAACAATATGGCTGAAAAACATATCACTATATAAGCCAGAGGTTTCCAATGTGAGGCCCGTGGGCCATTTGAGGCCCCTGGAATAATTTTGCGTGGCCCTCCCTTCAGTACCAAAACGCCACAAGTCTGATTCTTATGCAGATGGAGACAATGCAGAAACCCACTTTTTGTAATTGGGATAATTTTATAATCATCCTAATTACAAACAAAAAATGACATCCTAGGAAAAAAGAAAAAAAGAATAAAAGTTGCCAAATTCATTGCTTATCTTGATATATTTTTCTATGTTTAACAATGAGAGTTTGATTTACCCGAGCCGTGGCTTTTCAGGCCGACTGAAACCGTGGAGCCGGTGCTGCTGGTGCTTTTAGTGCGGGGCGACGTCACCCCCACCTGCGCGCTCATGCCTCTCCTCCAGGAGCCCGTGTTGGACACAGAGGCCGTCTTCCTCCCCGAGCCCTTGTCGGACTCGTCGGACACGTCGCAGTTCCTGCGGCTCCACTTGGCGTCCATCCTGACGCCGCCGTCCAGCCCGCCGTCAGGCCGCTTCGCCTCGTCTCTGGTCCAAGCCTGGTGAGCTGTTGTAGAGGCAGAGTGCTTCTCCGCATCCGTCACAGGCTGGAAACAGAGGAACAGTTAGGCAAGAGGTTCTGAAAAGTACAATGGCGTTGGTAAAAAACAGAAAAGGAGTAAAATTCTGCCAAAACACCCAGAAATTTTGAGATGCATTTCAAAAATTTTCTAGAAAAAACATGGACATTTCTGAGGTCCAATAGTCAAGATTTGCAAGAAAAAAAAACTCAGAAAGTTGGAGATTAACCTCAAAAATGTTCTTGTTTTTTCCAAAAAAAAAAGAGAGAAAAAAAAAGTTTTTTTCCATACATTTTTGAGTTTTTCGGGAAAATGTACTTCTCCTTTCTTTTCTATCTACAATACCAATACACTCTCATCATTTTCTAGAAAATTTCAAGGAATCTTGCAAATGTTTTACTTTTGGAGCTCAAAAATGTAATCTTTTTGTCAGACCTTTTCTTGTTTTTTTTCTATCTACAATGGTCCCGCTACGCCCCCACGGAAAAGCGCTCGGTTCAATCAGACAGCAGGACAGCACACCGTCTGATCACATCACAGCTTGCGAACTAAATGTTCTAGTAATTTAAAAGATGACTACACTTTCATGTCAGAGCAAGCCTACAGTCTGACAAAAAGCAGATCTTCAGATTACTGAATCCTGGTTAGTGAACTGATAATGACCTTCTCACAGGAAATGTACTTGACGCAAACCAAGAGGAACATTGTTGAAGCATTTCAGCTGCATGGTTAATTAACATTTTGCCCAGGCACATTCTTATTTTGAATTTGTATGCCAACCAGAGTTCACTCGGCATTCACACTGCATTTTAGACTTATTAAAAACCTGTTCCCCTCCCCACCTGCGGGGGCGCTGCACTAAGAACCACTGAAAGAGACAACAGAAAACCTCTATAGGAAGCAGGAGCACAACTTTAAGCCTCACAAAATCTGAAACTGGAATGAAAACATTTTTTCACATTACTTGTAAAAAGCTTAATTTTTTCATGTACTACTGGCAGAAACGACAAAGACAACAGGAAGTGGTAGGACGATAATCGTGCAGCATAATTTTACTGACTTATCGTGTGAAGAAATGTATTTGTGTGTGGTTAATTGAGTTCCTTATGTAATGGAAACACCACAGTTGCAGAAGCATTGGTTGAAAGCAAACTAATTATGCATCCATTTAACTATGTTGTGTTGTGTTCTTTCCAGTGAATTATATCGTGAAGTGTTTTGATTTTTGTGCTTGCTTGTCCGAAACCACATAAATGAAATTAAATTAAAAGACCAGGAGCCATTTTGCTGTTATCGCTGGACTTGTATGCTTGTGTTGGTTGTATTCACCCAGAATGTCCTTCACTGTCGTCCATTTCCTGCTTTTGTCCTGCTTGGCGTTCATATATGCATTCAAACTGCACTCGAGTTCACTTCAATTGAGCCTTTTTGATCCGCATCAAAGATCGATTTTACATTTACACCTCCACAAGCGAACCAAACTTTCTACACAAGTGAACTAAAGTTTGATTAAAGCAGCGCTGGTGTGAATAAATATTCATAACTTTCCTACTAAAACAGCTGGATTTGTTGCAAAGACAGTTCTGCAGACACCCAGGCAACACTTTTGAAAAGCTGCAAGCTGATCTGCTGTGAGATCTTCAAAGTCCAGCCGACGCAGGCTTGCCTGAGGACAGACGAGGCAGAGCTCATTACCTGCACTGTGTCGTGCAGCGGCACTGAAAGACACTCTGTGTGCCTTTCTTTGTTATTCAATCAGCACCTTGACCTCTGCAGCAATAATGAAGAGTCATCACAAATGGGATGGCCTCAGATCAGGCGAAATATACTGATCTGAGTATATAGTATATATAGTACAAGCACTATACAACCTATTGTATAGTGCTTGTACAATAAGCACAAGAGTCCGCTGACGTTTGACAAATGCAAGCTTAGAAAAATTAGCTTTAATGTATAAAAGAAAGATGTGCTTCAACTAACCAACGAATGTTAGAAGCTTCATTCAGGGAGTTTTCACACCTGATAGTCCAATAGACTCAGTTTAATTGTGGACCAAAAATGGAACATTTGATACATTTTTAGCTGCTGCGGTTCTTTTTCACACTGCACTGTGGCAAATGATCCAAACTAATCAAAACACCTGTTCCTCTCCTCACCTGTGGGACGCTGCAGCAAGAACTACAGAAGGAAACAACATGGAAACCACCACAACTTCCTTCTTCATGACATTTTAAGACCAGTAAAGAGCAGTATGAGTGAATTTTAAGACTCAGAAATGTACAAAAACTAGCATAACTTATACAACAGTGCCAAACTACAAAGTGACAAAGACAAACATCCAGCCAACAGGTATTAGTTAGCACTAAAAAAGCTAGCTAGTTAGCAATTGTATATTAGTAGCTAGCTAGCAGTAGCCTCGACTGCTTTGAGCAACAGAAAGTAATAAAGATGTCTGTTTATGGCTCAAATATCAGATCGATGCGTCTCTAATTGAAACGAATCATGTAGGAATATCCCATAAAGACACTTTACGTGGAAGTTCAATCAACTTCCAATTGATTGGATTTTGTTTCACTGTAGGATACAGAGTCCTGCTCCATGAATGCGTGTTTCTCTGACTTACCTGTGTGTTGAGGCCTTTGCGCTGAGCTGCAGGTGTGTTGGTGTAGGAGGAGATGGAGGAAACTGGTGTTGATGTCATCAGTGTCGATTTGTCGCTGATGCCGCTGCTTACCGAACTGCTATCATCCCAGCTGCACAAGAAGAAGAAGAAGAAGAGACATGGAGGCTTGTTTCAGTCCATGTAAAGAAATCGTTTTTGGGAATGAGGAAAACTACAGATTAAGACCTGTTAGAATAAACAATAAATCAGTTAATTGCATAATAGTTTCCATTTGTTTTTCAGAAATATCTTCTAATTCCAGTGTTAGAAATGAAAGTTTATTCATTTTTCAGAGGGTGTACTTGCATTATCACCCTACATTTCTTGAAAATTGTCTCAAATTATAGTTTATTGCAATAACTTCCGAGGCAATTCCCACAAAGAGACTAACTAACGTCTGATATAATATAATTCTGCTTTGCATTATCCTGCTCAGAAGAAATAGATTGACTTTTAGAGTTAATGTGTTTAATATCACCAGTTGGTCATAGATGCATGCAAAATTACCATATTCATAGATAACTTTCTATGAACAGGAAAAGACGAAAAATGTTAATTGGAGCATGAAACGAGACTGAAAGAAGAATCTGGTGACTGCCTGGTGATTCTCCTTTTATTCTCCATAAAACTGATTGCAACTTGGATACACACACACACACACACACACACACACGTCTGAATGGGGCTGTCTGTCATACGAACAAAGACTCGATGGAAGGGTGACATCATGGTGCGTTTGTGTGTCTGAGCTGTTCAAACAGACCCACATGAACAGAGCAAACGTGCCAAGAGTTAAGGATATCTGCAAATATGTCTGTGTGTGTCTGCTGGTGTGTGTGTGTGTCTGCTTGGAGGCTGCGGGGGACAGGAAGCCCAGCCACTTGGCAAACATTGGTCTGAAAGGAGCAGAGGGAGGCTGATGGTGACAGCCAGTGCACGGATCACACACACGCGCGCACACGCACACACACACACATGCACACACGCACACACACACACACGCACACACACACACACTTTGTCCAGAACTGAAAGGATAAATACATTTCAAATTTCATCAGCTAGTATTTGTTACCTTTGATATAATTTTCTTCTGACCCAGATGATTTTGATGTTTATTAAAACCTAAGCAGCCCAAAGAGGAGGGTACTTATGGTATCATTTATCATTTATGGATGTAAAGATTTAAAAGAAACCCAAAACGTTCCTTAATGTTGGGATTGTCAGTTTTTATATTTTTTCCTCAGTTTGTTCAATGAAAGCATCAATGCCTCTGCAAAATCAAAAGTATTTTTATTGCTAGAAAGAAGACAAAGCTCATTCATAGGTCACTTTTCATGAGCTTGTTTTAAGTAAATAATTCCTTAATATTTATGAAAACGTAGTCATTTCATTGGCAGATTATCAGACATTTTTCCAGCTTTATTAGTGAAATAATCTGCCAATGCAACCAGAACTTCTTCATCAGTATTAAGGAATTATAGACTTAAACTCCCCTATCTTACTGAAAAGTTCTTTGTAAGTTAGTTTTTTACTCTATTTCTAGTGTAACATATATTTTCATTAGAAAATAGACCAAGTACTTGGTAAGATTTTGTGTTTTTGCAGTGTAATATTCTGTTTGACTCAGTCCATGTGTTTATGAAAAGAGGAATAAAGAGGAATAAATCATTTAATAAGATGATGTTGGTTGATCCCGTGTGTCAAGGTTAATAGAGAAAACATTCACATATTAATCTAAGCTAATGATGCTGATGCTAATTCAAATGTCTCAACATAAAAGAAGAAAAGGATTTCTGTTTTAATTGTGTGAATTTAAGAAATATTTCCAAAGCAACCAAATGAACCTACATGGTTCATTTCCCACCAACGTACAGTATATCATCTTGTTTTAATCATTCATCCCTCCAGTTTGATCTTTGTACAAAAGCAAAACAGAGGCAGCTTTGGTATAAACAAAACCAGAGCGGCGTTGCTCAGTAGTCGACTTACACGCCCAGAACTTTCCCACCAAGCAGCGAGCTCACATCATAATTATGGCTTCAAACTAAGAAGCTAAACAAAAACAGACATTTCCAATGGCACAATTCCCAGATCCAACAGAGAACTGCCAAAACCTAATCAGCTGGTTCCTGACTACCATCGGACCCAAACACCAGCCGATGACCCGACTTCCTCCTGGATTTAACCAGCTGAATAAATCAAGCAGAAGCTTAGCGCAGACACGGCTTATAGAGCTGAAAGCATCCGAGGAGAGGAAAGAGCTGAGTGGTGATGAGAGATTTAGAGTGACCAGAACCAGTTGAGTCTTCCACACGGACACTGGGGTATTTCCCACACGTAGAAAATAAACATGGACAGCTGCACTGCAAAACACTAAACTTTACCAAGTAATGTTGTCAAGTTTCCAGTGCAAACTAACTTTTCAGCAGGATGTAGGAGGTGGATTTAAGAAAAGAGTCCCTTAGTAGTGAATAAAAAATATAAGTTTCATTGGCAGATAAGTCATAAGTTAAATAATCTGCCAACAAAACAAATATTTGCCATCAATATTAAGATATTATTGACTATATCTTGCCGAAAAGTTACTTAGTAAGTGAGATTTGTCTTATTTTAAGTGCGCTGAGGTATTTGCACTATAAAATAGACAAAAAATATACTTGATTTTATGATTCTACACTGCAAAAAACACAACATCTTGCCAAGAGTTTTTCATCAGTTTAATAATTTCTTAATATTAATTAAAAAGACAAAATTCCTTGGTAAGATGATTCTACACTGCAAAGAAAAATCTGGCAAAGTATTTTTAGCCTAGTTTCTAGTGCAAATATCTTAGTACACTTAAAAAATACTAAAATAACTTACAAGTAATTTTTGGCTTGATAAAGGAGCTTGTTTTGAGTAAATAATTTCCAAAATATTACTTTCACTGGCAGATTATTTCACTTCAAACATGAGGAAACTCTTTTGAGTGAATTTAACTGACAGTGGACCTGGCACTTTTTCATCAATTTTAACTTATTATTGACTCAAAATAAGCCCCTATATAAGTTACATTTAAGTCATTTTAGTCTTTTTTCAAGTGCACAAGAAAAATTAAACAAAAATACTTGTTAAGGCTTTATGGTTTTGCAGTGTAATAATCCAAACACTGGACATGACATAAAAGCAAACATTAAATTTAGTCTCTTTTCCTTATTACATGTCTGGTATGTACCTGTTCAGGGTGCCGGTGTTGCTGTGGGAACCGGGTCGCTGCGCGAAAATGCCAAACTGGACAGAGAGCTTCATGACTCCATGCTGCTGAAAGGATTCGCAAAAATAAATCTCTCTCCTCCTTTCTCTCTCTTTTCCTCTCTCTCCTCCGTTCTCTCTTTCTTTCTCTCTCTCTTTCTTTCTCCGCGCTCCCTCTCTCGTTCTGGATAGAGGTTCTTTGTCACTTGCTGCAGCGGTGTTTCATCCCCCGGGCGCTGTTTGTCTCTGTCTGCGCCGAGTGCTGAGCTGAAAGGATCTGAGCAGAGGACCTGCCCCGCTGCCGGTAACCTGAGCCTCCCTGGAGACCGTTAACCACTTCACTGCTGCAGCAGCGCCGCTAACGCTGCGCAGCCAAACACACGCAAACACACCCTGTGCCCTAAATAAGCCACTTGAGGCTTGACAGGCATCAAACAGGCGGGACGAGTCAAAGCCGCGCCATCGCAGACAGATTGAGACAAAAATGACAATTCTCATCCTCCACTTGCTCTGCTGTGTGGTTCCCAGCTCTGGTTTATGTATGCTGACTGTGTGTGTGCGTGTGTGTGTGTGTGTGTGTGTGTGGGGGGGTGTGTGCGTGCGTGTGTGTGGGTGTGTGTGTGTGTGTGTGTGTGTAAGACTGCAATTTCCCACACAGATCCACCCTGAGCAAACTGACAAGCCAGCGCTAATTAGAGATCAGGCCAAACGGCGGGCCCAGCCCTCAGCATCCTGCTGGCAGAGCAACCCGCCTGTTACCAACCGCCGAGCTTTTACGACCAATCACAGAGACCGAGACGCTGACCACGGGCAGCGCTGGCAAAGACCGGGTCAACAGCTAATGGATCAGAACCAAAGGGTCCGTTTATAAATGTTTATATATTATAAATGGCCTTTCAGGTGTGAAAGGTAATACTCTTTCACACCTGAAGTTTGTTTCATTTTCAGCTGGGTAGTAGTTACACTCAGTTACATTCACTTTTTTCCTTTTCTACGCTGTACTTTTTACTTTTACTGGAGCAATTTTATTGTGAAGTATTTCTACTCTTACTTGAGTAAAATTTCTGGATTTTCGACCCACTGAATGAAAAACAAACATGTTTTAACAAACAAATAACACCTACACTTTTTTATTGAAAGAAACGGGTTTGGAAAAAAAAATGTTTTTGACCGATTTTGTTAATTTTTTGTTACTGATATGAATCATTGTCATTTCCATCCTTAAAAGCCCAAATTTCCACTAAATTTCTCATTTTGTTCCATCTGATGGTATATATTTTTAAACATTAAATGACTGATAATTTGACCAGTTCCTCAGTACTTGAGTCGACTTTTTACCAAATACTTTTTTACTGTTACAAGTATTGGATACTCTACCCTCCTCTGGTGAGGAGCCATATTGATAATGCATGACACTTTAACACCTGACCATATTATTAATGGAGGCCTCAAGTTCCCACCCTCAAAATGAACAAATTCAAACTTTTTAAGATCTTACTGATTATGGTCATTTAAAAAGCTTTCCTTATATTTTCTGAATATTGCAGATGTTTCTATTTTGTTGGAAAGAGTTTTTCCCCTCCCGGTCAGCAGGGGGTGCTGCATCAAAATCTACTGAAGGAAAAGGCACGATAACGTCTGAAGAAGACACTGACCACAGCTTCCTTCCTGCTTCACAAATCGTAAATAAAATGGAGTAAGATCAGAGTTTTTTTCTTTGTCTTTGGTAAAAAATGAAAAAATAAAAATAAAACATAAGGCATTTATTGCTTTAGCACGAGATTCTTGTGTTTGTTTGGTTGTGTTATTGAAACTGAACTAAAAATTTGATTCATTACAAAACCTGAATGGGGTTCC